CCCAGTCTTACACCGACCCATCAACCACCACCACGCCGGAGTAATCCTGTCCCTCCTCTTCCTCGCTGCCCAGACATCAACCTCTGCCCAACCCTCATCTTTCTCACTTCCGGTGTAATCCTGTTAACCACACCACGTCGCCGGCTGCAACACTTCTCCTCTCCCGCACAAAAATCTCATCTCTCTTTCGCCTATACCAAATTCAAAATCAAAATCAAAAGCTGAAAGAAAACCCCACCCCCGTAACCCCACAAACCAAAAAACCAACGAATCCAATCCAAACCCAGAAAAGTCCCCCCCCCCCAAACCCCGTAACCCCACAAACCAAAAAAACCAACAAATCCAATCATCCAAACCCAGAAAAGTCCCCCCCCAAACTGGATTGCAGAAAAGTCCCAACCCCCCCCCCCCACACAAAACTGGATCTGGAAATGACACCCTCCCTCCCTGACTACCCACCTAACCCAGAACCCAAAAACCTGGAACAAGAAGAAGAAGAAGAAAAAAAAAAAAACCTCAAACCCAGTTCGTCCCCCACCCGCAAAAAACCTGCAATCTAGAAGAAGAAGAAGAAGAGGGAAAAAAAAAAGCCCAGAACCCTTCCCCCCACCCCCACCCCGACGCGACCCGCGGCCCACCTCTCTTCACCTCATCTTCCTTCTATCTTCCCAGATCAACGCCGCCCTTTCCCCATCACCACCGCAGAGCTCTCTCTCCGATCCCTCTGCTCCTCATGGAGGTCCTTGCGGTTCGGGGGGATATGGGTTTCGCGTCGGGGGGTGGTAATGGGATCTGGGTTGGGGGTGGTCGTATGGGGTATGGCTTTCGGGGGGGGGGGGTATGGGATCTGGGTTGTTCTTTGGTTTTTTTTTTTCCTTCAAAGGTGCATGTATGGGGTGGGGGGGGTGGGTGGGGTGATGGGATTTTGGATTTTCTAACCTTTTTTTTTTTAATTTAGAAGATTCAGATTTTAAAAAAAATAAAAAAAATAAATTTTTTTGCCACGTGGCACACATTTGGCAGCCACGTGGTACAAATGTGGCAACCACGTCAGCACTTAACAGATCAGTTGACGGAAAATCTAACGGAGGTATTATTTTGAAATAAAATGGTACATGATGTATGAAAGTGAAATGTTTTAAAGATGTTGTATGGAGTTGTAATAGACCTCAAACCTGAGGGTCTACTATGTAATTTACCCATATATTTTTTATTTATGGATGTTGATGTGCATGTAAAGCCCATCTTTACCTTTTGGGTTGGATTACATTTTTATTTTGTCTTGTAGTTTGATCTAATTTGTATGAATTCTATTTATATATATATTTTGTTAGTGTGAGATTATTTGATGAACTGGAAACGTACGAATAAGTTGACTGAGTTTGTTTCTGTAACATTTTTTACTTCAGCTGTTGTTCTTCATTTCCTTCCCCTTTTGCTCTCTTAACTTCAAATCTTATACCTTTTCATTCGGCTATCATTTTCGACAAATTTTATATCAGAATCTAAGCCCTCGTCGAATCCAACACGTTTGCCACCTCGAATTCCCCCAAAAACGGCCACACAAGGCATAACAAAGGCGAGAAAGGAAGCAAATCCCGCTGGAAAACTCCAATTTCCGACCAAACTCAACGGAATGACCTTAATCCAAGAGAGAAGTTTAATCCTGGCTTTGTTTCTATGCAAGTGATTCCCTTTCTTTTGAACTATTATGTGGTATATAATTTTATTTTTGGTTGTTCTTCTTGATGAACTTTGAACTGGTGAAACATGGAACAAATTTTTCTTCTGAAAGTCAATTAGTCTATTCCTATACATGGAGTCGTTGGTTGTGTGCTTTTCTCATGAACATTTTTATTATCATCTTAAAGAATGAATCCGGATCCTCACAAAGAGGATCCGGAGATCCATCAATTATATTCGTTCATCGTATATCGCGGTCAAATATTATTTTAAATATTTTTATTTGAAATTAAACACAAATAGTATTTGACAAAAAACTGATCATACGATGTACACGATTCGTGAATCCCTAAAATCCTTACTAAAAGGATCCGGAGATGATCATGTTGGTTAAAGAATAAAAGCAGTTGATATATATATATATATATATATATATATATATATATATATATATATATATATATATATGAGGCCTTTAAGGGAAGAAATTCTCAATTTTTTTTATATGTAGATTAATTGTGCGGTTCACATCACATTGAATCTTAACAATCTAAACTTTTATATTTTTCAAGTTGCATCTTATCGATCATCCTTACAAAATATTAACTAAATAGAAAATACTTGAGATATTTATTTATTTTTTATTTTTGAAAAAATATCGATGGTACGAAGGAATTTTATTGATATGTAAAAAGAAGTTACACCTAATCAGGGGCACCATAAATCTTACCCCTCATAAAATAAGAAAACCAAAATACAAGAAAAGAGGGGGATATAAACCTTACCCTTCTTGAAAAAGAAAATACAAGAAAAAGAGAACATAAACCTTATCCCTCTTGGAGAAGAAAATAAAAGTAATAGAGGGGGACATAGAGTCAATCTCATCTAAAATAAACCTTAAAAGGTTACTTGCAAGATAAGCGGCAAAACAAAAAGGAAACCCCAAAAGGATTAGGTAAAAAATAAAATTATACATCAAGAAGTGGAGATAAACCTGTTAGCCGGCATGCTCAAGAAGTCTGAATGTAGAAAAGGAAGAATCTCTATAGAAGGAGTTGCATGCCATACAAAAGAAGAAGAGAGAAGCTCTAAATTGGCTAATTTGTCAACAATGACATTCCCTTCTCGAAATGTATGAGAGCAACGGAAACCCTTTTTTTGCAACTGGGAATTGACGAACACTTTGTTCTATAAGAAACAATGAAATTTCATTGTGATAATTAAATTAGCAATTCGTTTTGGATTGAATTGAATTTTTGCAAGAATGATCTACCAATCAAGACTTATGAAATTGACGGTTTGAATTATTGGTATTTTTTTGATAAAAATGGAGATCTCCTCTTAAAGGGTGTACACACACACACACACACACACACACACACACATATATATATATATATATTATGGTGAGAGTTCTATGAATTAGTGATAAATCTGTTGGTGTGGCCGGTGTTCGGGGGCATTTGTAACTGGTAATAGTTTCTTCATTTTGTAATAATCCTCGATTAGTAAATGTTCTGCTAGTCTATCATGGCTTATGAAACAAGTGTATTATAGAACTTCACAGTTTTGCTAAAACGATTGTTAGTAATTCAGAATGTTCAAATCATGGTTATCGGATGTTTTGATTCTATATTGCGAGTAAATTCTCATTGCATCCCGAAAATGTAAATTTTCATTGCATATCTATGTCCAAATTAGAAGCCTAATAATGCAGCTCTTATTGGTGTATAAATGTATTTGCTGTGATGGTTATATTATATGCAGGTTGTAGGATGTAATGTGAGCCGTTGGATCATATTCCATATCTAGATTAGATTGTATTGAGTCATAGCTCATGACAAGTGTTAGCATCTTACATGATGACTTAAGAATGGATGGTTGTGATTGATTTGTAATGATGTGAGAGAGTGAGTTTGTTACTCACTCCTCTAATGGTAATATATGCTCTCCGAGCTTCTTGCTTGGCATGAGTGGAATTCAATGAACCTTGAAGCTTCCATAGCTCTCTAATTCCTTCTCTCGGTACATTTCTACTTTTTACCATTCCATTGAAGAAACTCAATCCAGAAATCAAACACTATCAGCTCTAACATACTCCTGAAAATGTGCAAATGTAAGGAGACATACTCTCGTTGTAGGACATTCATAGTAAATTCATATGCGCATGGATAGAACATCTGGACTTTCTTTTGAATACTTTGGCTCCGCATGCACATTAGTACTTATGCTCTGAACTATGAACATTCTGGTAGTGGAGGGTATGAGACCCATTAGGTGTGGCCCTTGGAGGTGGTCTGTGGTTAAATAAAGTTGTACTACTTTGGTTGCAGGTTGGGTTTTAATGAAATTTTTGTTGTGATTGGCTCATATTTTAAGCTGACAACAATGAAGTGACATGTGTTTGCTTTTGATGGAAATATCACATGGTGTGGGCTGCATGAAAGTTGCAGACAAGTGTTGCAAAGTAAAAACAAAAGTGGACAACAAGCCAAATGCCTTTCAGCTAGTAAACTAAACAAAGAAAAGTTTGGTGGACATCATCATGAGTAAAGACACAATGATGATGCTTGTAAGAAAATAGAAAAAGGTGGTTGTTTTTGCTTTAATGATTATGAAGAAATGTGATGATGGATTGACCTTTATTTAATGCAAGGAAATGCTTGCATTATGTGTGCTTGCTAAGGGAGAAGGTTTGCATCAGAAAAGCGTCCAAGGTGGAGAGAGCATTCGGCTCTCCCATGGGAAATGTTGAACATGAGTTGAGAGAAAATCAAGAGAACTAGAGTGAAAAATATTCTAGTGAAAGAACTCTTGGGGTAGAGTGAGGCTCTTGGAATATTCTATGAGTGGGTGTACAAGGGATTTGGGATTGGGTTATGTTGATTTAACTCATGTGTACTTGTACTGTTATTCTCATAGTGAAGAGCAATATCTCTCCAGGGACGTAGGCGTGTTTTGCTGAACCTCGTAAATTTCTCAAGTGTCTTTATTTCTTGTATTTTATTCTGTTCAACTGAGTGTGATTTGGTGAGGTTGTAATCTGAATCTCTTTTCCGCACTAATGAACGGGTCAAGGCACAACAATTTTAAGGGAAGTTTTGTTGAATTTTTGGTAGATTATAAGAAGGTACTTTATTAAATTGTATTTGCATGCACGTTATGGCTACATTTATGAGTGGTGGCCATCATTTCTCGATTTCAGTGTCCACTTGGATATTGGGGTTCGAGGGTGTCAAAAATACTGCCAACTGGCCCAGCTCATATTTACCCCTGACATCTACTTACTATGGTATTAAAAAATTTGGTCCCCCAAAATGGGTCGCTGAATGCATTTAGATAGTTGTGGGGTGTGACAACAAGCTCCACTTGAATTTAGATTAGATCCACTCGCTTATAATTTTTAATGATCTATCAAAGCTAGAAGTCTTCATCTTCGGAAGGGCTTTGAGTCTATACTCTGCCATTTCTGATTCGCAGCTGGTTTATAATTTGGGATCCTCTCTCTAAACTCTACTTAGCGGAGTGCGACCATAATATTTTGTTACGGCCACCGCTGCGTGTGGCGTCTCCCAGTCCACCAAGGCTTGCAGTGTAAATGCAGATTGTTGATGCGTGATGAGGCGTATTCCAGGGTCTGTCTCGCGTTTCTTCTTTCCTCGGAAGAAGTCATCACATGAAAATTATAAGAACACCGAGAAAGATTGGGCGTTTCCAGAAGAATTATGCCGTCGCTTTTCACTTGCCGAGATCACAACAGCAACTCAATGTTTTGATGCGAGCTTATTTATTGGTATGGGTGTCTTTGGCTCAGTATACAAAGGGCGTATTAAGGTCGATGGGCTTGAGGACAGGACAGACGTGGTTGCAATCAAGCGCATTTTCACAGATTCAGAACACCAAGTGCGTCAGTTCAGGGCAGAGGTGGAGTTACTGTGCCAGCTCCGCCACACCAACATCATCTCTCTCATCGGGTTCTGCCAAGAAAAAGGAGAGTGCTTCATTGTTTACAATTACATGCCCAATGGTTCCCTCCGTGATTATCTTTATGAAACTTCCAATATTAAAAATAAAGATGCCTTTCCCTTGACTTGGAAGCAAAGGCTGAAAATTTGTATTGGGGTGGCGCGCGCAATACACTACCTCCACGCAGGGGTTAAGCATACGATCATCCACCGAAACGTGAAATGCTGGAACATTCTATTGGACCAAAACTTGGTCCCCAAGCTTTCAGGCTTCGTGTTGTCTAAGAGGGGTCCTCCAGTCTTGTCAAATGCATTAATCAGACTGAACTCGGAGCTGGCCGGTACAAAGGGCTATATTGATCCAGAGTATGTATGGACTGGCCAACTCACCGAAAAATCTGATGTCTTCTCATTTGGAATGGTGTTATTCGAAGTTTTGTGTGCCAAATCTTGCTCAACAGATATACCTGAATGTGTGGAAAGGGGTGATACTTTCCCTGCTATGATTGATCCATTTCTGGTGGGAAAAGTAGCTCCAGATTGTTTGAGAAAATATATGAACATCGCCGAGAGATGTGTGCGTCTGTCAGGAGCTGAACGGCCCACGATGGGTGAAGTGGAGGTAGAACTTGAGTGTGCACTGGAGTCACAGGAGAGCGCGGACGCCATCAAGCAGCTCAAGGAATTGGGGACAACTGCAAGTAGTTCTCTTGCTCCTCGTCCTCCTGCCGCTGCACATGACATGGAGGACTATACCTACCAAGATATTTCATTTTCTGAGATCAATGAAAATTTACCACATATATTTGCGGGAGTGGCCGTGAGATTCATGTAGTACTGATCTGGCAGCTTATGTTGATGGTATTGCTATCCTTGATCCTAACAGGGAAGCAATAACTTAGACCAAATATTGTGATATGCAATTATACTACTCTTGAAAGAAATAAACTTCGGTTATATCTATCTGAGGAACGCTACAGATTTTTTGATTTCACATATTCCTCTATATGTAAATTAAAGGTTCTGTCCGCATGTCATACACGAGAAAACCAAATGTACGTAGGGCTAATTGCTTGTATTGGAGTGAATTTGGTCTACATTGAGGCCAGTCAGAGAAACAATCATGTCAGAAGAATAAACTACCGTCTTCGTTGAAAGTTAGAGTGAGAACAATGTAAAAAATACTTGGTACTTAAACACATAAATCTCATTATTCCTGGTTTCCAGTCTCAGCCAGGAAAAATGTTTTAAGTGGAATTTGACAATGGTTACCATTAAGGCTCTGTTGCCTAAATCATAGCAGAAGCCGAAAACTAAAAAGGCTAGGTGAGAGCTGCAAAACATGTGAGTTTCATCTTGAATATCCATTTGGATTGCCCCAAACTGTTTTATTTGGCTTGATACTGACCGCTCGAAGGACCACGGAAACATGAGTCGGTTTCTGTTATCAATTATTGAAACTTCAACCGTACTAATACTCTTTGACAAAACTATACATTTTTAGTGCATAAGATAAGAGTAGCTATTAGTTCTCACTACAAGAACATTACAAAAGGTACGATGAAATAACCAGTGAAGAAATAAACTTCAACAATTCTTACCTAATCAGCTTCAGTTGCGGATTACAATGGACGGTACATGTTGCACTTTGTAAAAATCCTCTCCTTCACTTCCCATGTTGACCTTGAATAGGCATCCATATATCTCCAATTCCTGAAGTGTTTTCACAAACCTCAGAGAATCCGGAATCATCTTCAGTTTGATGCAACTCGATATTTCCAAACGACAAAGACTAGGCATGGCTCCTTCTTCCATCGTCCAATCCTCTAAATTAGAAAACCCTCGGAGGAGTAGAGACTTGAGTTTTGGGAAACCTTGGTTAGAGCAGACCATTTTCTTCCCAGCGAACATTTGCCATCCGCTTAAAATTCTCAAGTTAGGCAGTCTTTCCAGTGTTGGCATTGGATCTTCCTCAAGGTTAGAGCCCCACAATGTTAACTTGGCAAGGTTTGGAGGGAACTGATGGTATTCCGGCAGCTTCTCTATCCGCCCTTCCACGTGCAATTTTTGTAGACGGCGACAACTTAACATTAGTTGTCTAACATCAACACCATCATCAGGGAACGAAAGTGTCTCACTTGTCAAGGACAGGGACTCGAGGCAGCTTAACGTTCTGCTTTGGGGACTGAAAATTTTCACCAAACTTTTGAAATGTTTTGGATCATTCAACACCAATTTTCTGAGATTGGTCAACTTGCGAAGATCTTCTACGTCACATTTGTTTGCAGGAAAGTTTACAAGTGTCTGCAAGTTGATGAGATTTCCCAGTTGCAGCTTATCAACTGCATTGCCACACCACTTGGGAAGATATAAATGCCTTAGCCTTTCCATCTTCCAGATCACATTCGGAATTTGCACTGTCAGATCCCAACTCAATTTACTTATGGTTTGCAAATTTAAAGTTTTCAAGTGGATCAAATTGCCGATGGATGATGGCAAAGCTTGTATATGTGTTTTCTTCAAACTTAGAAACTGCAACTGAACCAAGTCCCCGATATCTTTAGGTAACTTTTCATACGGTCCCTTGACACCTTCAAGATCGAGAACTTTGAGCATTTTGAACTCAAAAATTGTTCTTGTAAGCAGCCAATTTACCAATCTACACTTGCTTGCATGGAAAAATATAAGGGACCTGAGACTGAGGTGGGAATCTTCTTTGTATTTGGATGGGATAAGATTATCGACTTGTGAAGGTAAGAAGACAGCAAGTCTGCGAGTTTTACCAGTTGATGTTGTTTCAGAAAGCATGCGAGAAGAAGAAGAATTCACCACCATATTTTCATCCGGATAATGAATAATCTGGAGAAAGTTTTCCTGCTTTGCTTTCGACAAACACAAGTCACGCATAAGATCATGGAGGCGGCAAGTTTTAATTTTTCCGGTTGATCCAAGAGTTCCAACTTGAACCATGCACCTATTAATCAAGTAACCCAAGTAGCGTTCTGCAACATCCTCTATTGTTTCATCTCCCTCTGCTTCATGATGTGGCGATACAATGCCTTCTGCAATCCATAATTGAACCAGTTTTCTCCGCGGAATTTCAAAATCTTCCGGAAAGTGACTCAAATAAAGGAAACAGGGTTTTAATTGAAAAGGCAAATCATGATAGCTCAAAGCCAAAACCTCAGGTACCGTAGAGTGTTGCTCGTCCCCTTTGGCTCGCTTTAGATACGAAAGAATATCTCTGTGGACGATATCCCACTCGTGCACTGTTTCTTTAGTAGCCAAAAGTCCGCCAAGCACAACAATGGCCAAAGGCAAGCCAGCACACTTTTTGACAATTTCCCTCCCTAACTGCTCCTTATCTTTGCTCCTGATAAAATCTGCAATGTTAAAGCAGAAAACCATTTAGCGAAACTCTGAGTTGGGGATACCAATCCTATAAGAAAATGTGATGAAACTGAGTATGCACAAAAAGGGATCAACAACTAACAGTCTAACACTACACTTGAGCTCCCATAATTCGAGTGAGACACCGTTGTTTTAAAATCCTTCACATCTAGAAGTTCAAGAATTTGAATTAGGATCGGTGAAACTGAAGAAATGATTGCAAATCTGAAATAGTGATGACTTTTTATTCATTTATGGATCCTTGGTTGGGTAGATTTTAACGACAAACTTCAAATGTATCTTGCAAGAATAGAGTTATTAATTTATTGGTTAGAGACGTATTAAGTTTCTAACTAGTTAGCATTTGAGTAGTATTTATATATTAAGGAAATGCATAATGATACAAAATCCCGATGCATGCTTAAGAAATTGGAATGGTAAACTACCTGGATTACCATTTCTTGGAACTGCCTTCTTCTGAAGCAACTCCCAACCCTCTTCTTCAGTTAAATTCCTCGGCTCATGAAGACCGCTTCGGTCTACAAAGGAAGCTACATCTTTTTTACGAGTTGTAAGCAATATTCTGCTGCACCCTTTTCCCGACGATGGGAAGGCAGGACTTAGAATTTTCCAGGCCTCAATCGTCCAAATGTCATCAAGAACCATCAAATATTTCTTCTCCATTTGAACTTGATAAAGCTTCTTTGCAAGCTCTTCGTCTCTCAATTTCAAAATATGATCCCTCTCCTCTTTCGACGGAGAGGTTAGTTTAATCAGAATACCTTCCCAAACATCCCTTGGTTTGCATTGTTGAGATATATATGCCCACGCAGAACCCTCAAAATAACGCCTAACACGATCATTGCGGTAAACTTCCTTGGCAAGAGTGGTCTTTCCCAAACCACCCATCCCACAAATGGACACAACTCGACCGTGTTTTTCTTCATTCATGAGCTCCACCACTAGTTCGTTTATATTTCCTTGTAAACCAACGATATGGTCATCAATAACATGGGAATAAGACCACCTCAATTGTCTTTGCTTCTCAAACGCGATACTCGACGAGCCCTGGTGATCTCTTACAACACTCAAGCCGTAAGTTTGTGTACTTCTAGTAAGGTCAGAGATTCTAGCTTTGATGGCCTCAATCTCAGACCCAACTTGATTAAGGTTTGAGGCTCGGTCGAAAAAACAAGCGTACCTTTTTAGTGGATTGGAAATTGGTGTTGCAATTTTGATGGTAAAAGTCCCAATGACATCCTCGGCATCGTAAGCAACTTCTCTGATCTCGGAAACCCAATTTCGAAGGCTATCATCTTCGTCTTGCCTCTTATCAGCATCTTTCAAGAAGCATTGCATCCGCCTTAGTTCGAGTCCGATCTGCTCAACGTTTTGCTTGACCCCATGTAACAAGGTGGCTTTCTCGATTAGCAGGTCCCCAAGTCTCTCAACAACAAATGATACCACAAACTCTGCCATGCTTTGTGCTTGCTAGCTACTTCCTGATCTTCAAAATTACAGCAGAACAAAGGTTAATTTTACATACAAAAAAAGAAGAAGAAACTATTTCTTTTTTTCTTTCTTTCTTATCTACTAAAAGAACATAACCAAACTAGCTGTGTTGTGATTTGTATAATCAACTCACAATTATTTTGATATTTCCCACCGTCCAAATCTCATTCAGTATGTAATTATTGGGAAGATGCTTACTTCTTAGCTATATATCTCGAGTTTATCTTTGTTTGTGTATGCCGCTCGGGTCACAAGATGATAGCATGAAAGTTGCTCTTCTCTTGTTGGGAAGGTGATGAGTGGGCCATTTTGACGTGCATTATTGGAAATGTCTTGATGTGATTGTGGGGCTATTATATCCACACAACCCTTAAATTATTTTGTAGGATACTCTGTAATTTTTTTAAAGATTCGAACTTATTATATTTAAATTCATCACTCATAGATCTATCTTTAAAAAATAAAAATAAATCATTTGTAACAAAGAAAATGAACGAAAAAGGTAATATAAGTAACCAAATACTAAAATAACTATCATTTAATTTTACCCTATAAAAATTCCGACAGTCATACAGTTTTGAATTCGGGTGAAATTTGGTGGCATTGATCCACGAGGGAAGTACGTAGGTACACCGTATGTCGTATATATGTTTGTGTGAATGTGGGCCGGGTTTCCACACAGCGGCTTTCAGTTATTTCAATTACGCAAGTGAATGTGGTCTTATCCGTGGAAAGTGGGGTATGATTACATATCACACTTGTTGAATTTATCGGAAAAATCATATCGTAAAAGGATTCAGTTGACTTTCTCTAACGTGAAGTCTTGACGCTGCCATTAGTTTCCAAGAAAAAACCAGCCGCCAGCAGGTGGACCTGGTTAATAATTTTGGACCCTCTCTCTCGAATCTACAGAATGTAAGAGGATGAGGAGGATCACTTTGTGAGTCCATGTCTTTGATGCATAGTGATGGGGCGTACTGCGCAGTCTGTCTCTCGTTTCTTCTCTCTTCGGAAGAAGAAACAAAATGATTGGGCGTTTCCTGAAGAATTATGCCGTCGTTTTACACTTGCTGAGATCAGAGCAGCAACTCAATGTTTCGACCGAACCTTAGTTATTGGTGAGGGTGGCTTTGGCAGAGTATACAAAGGGCGTATTAAGGTCGATGGGGATGAGGACAGGATAGACGTCGTTGCAATCAAGCGCCTTTCCAGAGATTCAGTACAGGGAGTGCCTGCGTTCAGGGCGGAGGTACAGCTACTGTGCCAGCTGCGCCACCCCAACCTCATCTCTCTCGTCGGATTCTGCCAAGAAAATGGAGAGCGTATCATTGTCTACGACTACATGCCCAACGGTACCCTCTCTGATTACCTCCTTGATCCTTCCAATATTAAAAATAAAGATCCTTTTCCCTTGACTTGGAAGCAAAGGCTGAAAATTTGTATTGGGGTAGCGCGTTCAATACACTACCTCCACGCAGGGGTTAAGCATGCTGTCATCCATCGAGCTGTGAAATGCTCCAGCGTTCTATTGGACCAAAACTTGGTGCCCAAGCTTTCTGACTTCGGGTTGTCCAAGATGGGTCCTCCTGTCTTGTCAAATGCATTAATCAAATTAACCTCGCGGATCTTTGGTACAATAGGCTATCTTGCTCCAGAGTATGCAATGTTCGGACAACTTACCGAAAAATCTGATGTCTATTCATTTGGAATGGTGTTACTTGAAGTGTTGTGTGCCAAATCTGTTTCAAGAGAGATATTTGAATGTGTGGAAAGGGGTGAGACTTTCCCTGCTATAATTGATCCTTTTCTGATTGGAAAAGTAGCTCCAGATTGTTTGAGAAAATTTATGATCATCGCCATGAGATGTGGGCGCCCTGCAGGAGCTGAACGGCCCACGATGGGTGAAGTGCAGGTGGAACTTGAGTGCGCACTGGAGTTGCAGGAGAGGGCTGACACCGTCAAGCAGCTCAATGAGTTGAGGACAAGTGCAAGTACTTCTCTTGCTCCTCTTCCTGCCCATGACATGGAGGACTATACCTACCAAAATATATCATTTTCTGAGATCAATGAAATCATCTGTAATAGGTATAGGAATTCGCGAGATTCTTTTAGCACTGATGAGGCAGCTTCTGTTGATGGCATTGCCAGCCTTGATCAAGCATTATAATGAGAAAATATATTATGAAGTTGTTTCTACAAAATAAATATATTATAAATTTGGTAGCATTGATCTATGAGAGAAAACATAAAAATTAAACGGTTGGTTTGTTAAAATATATTATAAAGTTGTTTCTACAAAATAAATAATCAAGCATTATAATGAGAAATTTAAAATGCAAAATAATGAACGATTAACTCATGACACCGAGTCACCGACACTGGGTCCAAGTAGGTATACCGTATATATGTTTGTGTGAATGTGGGCCGGGTTTCCACACAGCGGCTCTTAGTTAATTCAATTACATAAAGTGAATGTGGTCTTATCCGCGGAAAGTGGGGTATGAGCACAGCTCGTACTTGTTGGATTTATCGGAAAAATCATATCGTAAGGTTTAAAAACATTCGGGTGACTGAACGTTTTGCTTGACCCCATGTAACAAGGTGGCTTTCTCAATCAGCAGGTCCCCTAAGTGTAAGATCTCACGTCGTTCAGGGAAGTGATCCTTATATGTATATTCTCATCCCTATCTAGCACGAGGCCTTTTGGGAGCTCACTGGTTTCGGGTTTCATCGGAACTTCGAAGTTAAGCGAGTAGCACGAGAGAGCAATCCCATTATGGGTGACCCACTGGGAAGTTCTCGTGTGAGTTCCCAGAAACAAAACCATGAGAGCGTAGTCGGGGTCCAAAGCGGACAATATCATACTACGGTGGTGGAGCGGACTCGGGATATAGTGGACCCCGGGCGGGGATATGACACCAAGTCTCAACAACAAATGATACCACAAACTCTGCCATGCTTTGTGCTTGCTAGCTACTTCCTAATCCTCAAATTACAGCAGAACAAAGGTTAATTTTACATACAAAAAAAGAAGAAGAAGAAACTATTACTTTTTTTCTTTCTTTCTTATCTACTAAAAGAACATAACCAAACTAGCTATATGTTGTGATTTATATAACCAACTCACAGTTATTTTGATATTTACCACCCTCCAAATCTCATTCAATAGGTAATTATCGGGAAGATTCTTACTCTTAGTTATATATCCCGAGTTTATATTTGTTTGCCTGTCTTTCTCTTGTCGCAAGATGATAGCTTGAAAGTTTCTCTCATCTTGTTGGGAAGGTGATGAGTGGGCCAATCTGAAAATATTTTGATGTGAATGAGGGGTTATTCTATGATCATATAATATCCACACAGCCCTTGAATTATTTTCCAATTCAGAGTAAATGATGGGAAAAGGAGAAGGGAAAGAAAGAAGGGTGGTGATGGCACCGAAAGAACGAAGAAGGGAAAGAAAGAAGGGTGATGATGGCACCGAAAGAAAGAAGGAAAAGGGAAAGGGATAGGATAAAAGAGTCATCATCATATTTTCCTTCGCCATTACCTGTTTTTTGGAGCATGGGAACGGCTGAGAAAAAACAACACAACATTCATCAATTCATAAACAACATACAAAGGGGATATCATACTTTAACACACATTTTCACAACACACTCCGTAACTTTCTTTAATTATTCAAATCGTTTATATTTTAATTAATTATTCATAAATCATTCTTGTAAAAAAAAATTAGATCAATTCAAAACCATTAAGACATTTATTTATAGTGAATAAAATAGACAAATACGGGAAACACTAAAATAACTGTTATTAATTTGACCATCATATATGCCTATAAAAAAATCGACAATCTTATAATTTTGGATTTGGATGAAATTTGGTAGCATTGATCTATGAGAGAAAACATAAAATTAAATGGATCGTTAAAATATAGAGGTATTCATCAATTTCCCCCCTGAACTTGTGACTATTGGCCAATTTCCCCCCTCAACTTTAATTTTGGCCAATTTCCCCCCTCAACTCTCATAATTAGTCAATTTCCCCCCTCAACTTTAATTTTGGCCAATTTCCCCCCTCAACTCTCATAATTAGTCAATTTGCACCCAATTGTTAATTTATTTTTTTTTAATTTTCCATCTATTCTTTTTTTTTCAATCTTTCTAATAACTTCCAACAAAGTACTAAAATTAACATAAACTCACTTGCATAATATAGGGTTAAAATGTACAAAACATTAATACAATTAGTATGTGATATGGGTTGATTATAAGAAAAAGTTATTGAATCGGGTTTTTGTAAAAGAAGAAATAATAACAAAAAGACATAATAATCATAAAACTCATGGATCAGACCTATTTCAATAAAATAGGTTATTCTTAATAATGAGTAAAAAATTATGAATTGACTAGCCATTTTTGCACTAAAGCTCGATTCTCTGCAATTTACTTGAACTTAGCTTTCACTTTTATAAAGAAAATTGTATTCACATACAAAAATGTACACATCAATCCTTTTCGTTATCAAATTTGTATAGTAAAAAATCAAATAAAATTACTCCATACTGATTTATTATGACTAATAATACTATCTATGATAAATTGTAAAATTCTAAATTTTAATCTATTTGTAATAGGATAAAGATATAGGAAAATGATTAACATACATCTTATTTAGTTTCTTACACACACTTGTTTAATTATGATCAAATTAAAAAATTAATAGTAGGGTGCAAATTGACTAATTATGAGAGTTGAGGGGGGATATTGGCCAAATTAAAGTTGAGGGGGGAAATTGACTAATTATGAGAGTTGAGGGGGGAAATTGGCCAAAATTAAAGTTGAGGAGGGAAATTGGCCAATAATCACAAATTCAGGAGGGAAATTGATGAATACCTCTAAAATATATTATAAAATTGATCTTATCCGCGGAAAGTGGGGCATGAGCACAGCTCACACTTGTTGGATTTATCGGAAAAATCATATCGTAAAAATATTCAGTTCACTTTCTTTAATGTGAAGTCCTGGTCTTTGGAGGACTTTTGAGTCCTGACGCTGCCATTAATTTCCAAGGAAAAACCAGCCGCCAGCAGGTGGACCTTGTTAATAATTTGGGACCCTCTCTCGAATATGCAGAATGTAAGAGGATGAGGAGGATCACTTTGTGAGTCCATGTCTTAGATGCATAGTGATGGGGCGTACTGCGCAGTCTGTTTCTCGTTTCTTCTCTCTTCGGAAGAAGAAACAAAATGATTGGGCGTTTCCAGAAGAATTATGCCGTCGTTTTACACTTGCTGAGATCAGTGCAGCAACTCAATGTTTCGACCAAACCTTATGTATTGGTGAGAGTGTCTTTGGCACAGTATACAAAGGGCGTATTAAGGTCGATGGGGATGCGGACAGGAAAGACGTCGTTGCAATCAAGCGCTTTTCCGGAGATTCAATCCAGGGAGTGTGTGAGTTCAGGGCGGAGGTACAGCTACTATGCCAGCTCCGCCACCCAAACCTCATCTCTCTCGTTGGATTCTGCCAAGAAAATGGAGATTGTTTCATTGTCTACGACTACGTGCCCAACGGTACCCTCTCTGATTACCTCTTTGATCCTTCCAATATTAAAAATAAAGATCCCTTTCCCTTGACTTGGAAGCAAAGGTTGAAAATTTGTATTGGGGTGGCTCGCTCAATACACTACCTTCACGCGGGGGTTAAGCATGCTGTCATCCATCGAGACATAAAATGCTCCATCATTCTATTAGACCAAAACTTGGTGCCCAAGCTTTCTGGCTTCGCGTTGTCCAAGATGGGTCCTCCTGTCTTGTCAAATCCATTAATCAAATTAAACTTGCCGGTGTCTGGTACAATCGGGTATCTTGATCCAGAGTATGTATCTTCCGGGCAACTTACCGAAAAATCTGATGTCTTTTCATTTGGAATGGTGTTATTCGATGTGTTGTGTGCCAAAACTTATGCAAAATTGTTAATAGAAAGCCCGGACGGCAGCGTGATTTTCCCGGATATGATTGATCCATTTCTGAAGGGAAAAGTAGCTCCGGATTGTTTGAAAAAAATTATGAACATCGCCGTGAGATGCCTGCGTCTGAGAGGAGCTGAACGGCCCACGATGGGTGAAGTGCAGGTGGAACTTGAGTGCGCACTGGAGTTGCAGGAAAGGGCAGACGCCGTCAAGCAGCCCAAGGAGTTGGGGACAAGTGCAAGCACTTCTCTTGCTCCTCCTCTTCCTGCCCATGACATGGAGGACTATACCTACGAAAATATATCATTTTCTGAGATCAATGAAACTTTCTGTATATTAGTGAGCTTCATTTAGTACTGATGAGGCAGCTTCTGTTGATAGTATTGCTAGCCTTGATCCTAACAGGGAAGCAATAACATATAAGAAATATTGGGTGATATGCAATAACTATACTCTTGAAAGAAATAAACTTTGGTTTATCCATCTGAGGAACGCTACAGAGTTTTTGGTTTCATTCCTCTATATGCAACAATGTTGTTTTCGCATGTCATGCACGAGAAAAACAAATGTACGTAGAGCTAATTGCATGTATCGGAGTGAACTTGGCCTACTTTGAGGCCCTCGGAGGTAGGTGAAGGTAAAGAAAAAATCATGTTGGAAGAATAAACTACCAGCTTCATTGAAAGTTAGTACGAGAACAATGTCCAAAATACTTGTAGTTAAACTCATAAATCTTATTTTTTCTTATTTTTTCTTTTTTGAGAAGAATTTATTGATAAACAAAAAAAATACAATATGTCAAGAGGACGTGAGGCCAAACCCAAACCATTAAAAATTCATAACAACAATTCAAAACCTATTTCCGCAGCAAAACCTATAACAAGGAAGCTTAGAAAGGTTGTGAGAATAAGCAGTTGCAGCACAAGGAGGGCATGAATCTCACCAATGGACACCGGGGTGATCAACACCATAATTGGCCAAACAATCAGCAACTTGATTACCCTCTCTAAAAATATGAGAAATTTGAACCTACATGGAGAATAGTAAAACTCGACAGTTATGCCAACTGACCAATAGCCTCCAAGGGATAGATGTCAAGGAAGGTGAGGATGAAGAAAGAAGATGAACAACCAGTGAGGAGTCACATTCAATCCATAAGGAATGTCAACCTTTATCCCAAGCTAAAGGTACAACATGAATAACAGCGCGTAGTTCGGCATCCAAAGAAGAGGCCAAGCCTATTGAACCCGCAAAACAACCAAGAGAATTACCCGTAAAATCCCGAAAGATACCACCAAATGCAGCCACACCAAGGGAACCTCTTGGAGCACCATCAGTATTCACTTTGATCCAAGACTGAGAAGGCGGGCGCCACAACACCTCAATAATTTTTGGAGCCTTAGCAAGACGTCCACGAACACCAAGGAGTTGACATTTAATAGAGGCGGCAAGTTTTAATTTTTCCTGCTTTGCTTTCGACAAACACAAGTCACGCATAAGATCATGGAGGCGGCAAGTTTTAAATTTTCCGGTTGATCCGAGGGTTCCAACTTGAACCATGCACCTATTAATCAGTAACCCAAGTAGCGTTCTGCAACATCCTCTATTGTTTCATCTCCCTCTGCTTCATGATGTGGCGATACAATGCCTTCTGCAATCCATAATTGAACCAGTTTTCTCCGCGGAATTTCAAAATCCTTCAATTATTTTGTAGGATACTCTGCTTCATGATATGGCGATACAATGCCTTCTGCATTACTGGAAATGTCTTGATGTGAATGTGGGGCTATTATATTCGCACAGCCCTTCAATTATTTTGTAGGATACTCTGTAATTTTTTTTAAGGATTCGAACTTATTATATTTAAATTCATCACTCATAAACCATCCTTGAAAAAAATACTAAAATAACTATCATTTAATTTTACCCTATAAAAATTCCGACGGTCATACAGTTTTGAATTCGGGTGAAATTTGGGGGCATTGATCCATGAGGGAAGTACGTAGGTATACCGTATGTCGTATATATGTTTGTGTGAATGTGGGCCGGGTTTCCACACAGCGGCTTTCAGTTTTTTCAATTACGTAAGTGAATGTGGTCTTTAGTTTCCCAAAAATTAAAAAGAGTGAATGTGGTCTTATCCGCGGAAAGAGGATGAGGGAGGATTTTACGTAATTGAGTCCATGTCTTAGATGCATAGTAATGACGGCCATACAGGCTTGTGAGTCATACAGGCTTGTGAGTCCATGTCTTAGATGCATAGTAATGAGGCGTACTGCGCAGTCTGTCTCTCGTTTCTTCTCTCTTCGGAAGAAGAAACAAAATGATTGGGCATTTCCAGAAGAATTATGCCGTCGTTTTACACTTGCTGAGATCAGTGCAGCAACTCAATGTTTCGACCAAACCTTATGTATTGGTAGGGGTGGCTTTGGCTCAGTATTCAAAGGGCGTATTAAGGTCGATGGGGATGAGGACAGGATAAACGTCGTTGCAATCAAGCGCTTTTCCGGACGTTCAGAACGGGGAATGCGTGAGTTCAGGGCGGAGGTACAGCTACTGTGCCAGCTGCGCCACCCCAACCTCATCTCTCTCGTCGGATTCTGCCAAGAAAATGGAGAGTGTATCATTGTCTACGACTACATGCCCAACGGAACCCTCTCTGATTACCTCCTTGATCCTTCCAATATTAAAAATAAAGATCATTTTCCCTTGACTTGGAAGCAAAGGCTGAAAATTTGTATTGGGGTGGCGCGTTCAATACACTACCTCCACGCAGGGGTTAAGCATGCTGTCATCCATCGAGACGTGAAATGCACCAACGTTCTTTTGGACCAAAACTTGGTGCCCAAGCTTTCTGACTTCGGGTTGTCCAAGATGGGTCCTCCTGTCGTGTCAAATGCATTAATCAAATTAAACTCGACGGTGGTCGGTACATTCGGGTATCTTGATCCAGAGTATGCATTGTCCGGGCAACTTACCGAAAAATCTGATGTCTTTTCATTTGGAATGGTGTTACTTGAAGTGTTGTGTGCCAAATCTGTTTCAAGAGAGATATCTGAATGTGTGCATAGGGGTGAGACTTTCCCTGCTATGATTGATCCATTTCTGATGGGAAAAGTAGCTCCAGATTGTTTGAGAAAATTTATGAACATCGCTGTGAGATGTGTGCGCCCTACAGGAGCTGAACGGCCCACGATGGGTGAAGTGCAGGTGGAACTCGAGTGCGCACTGGAGTTGCAGGAGAGGGCTGATGCCGTCAAGCACCTCAATGAGTTGAGGACAAGTGCAAGCACTTCTCTTGCTCCTCCTCTTCCTGCCCATGACATGGAGGACTATACCTACGAAAATATATCATTTTCTGAGATCAATGAAACTTTCTGTATATTAGTGAGCTTCATTAGTACTGATGAGGCAGCTTCTGTTGATAGTATCGCTAGCCTTGATCCTAACAGGGAAGCAATAACATAGAAGAAATATTGTGATAGGCAATAACTGTACTCTTGAAATAAATAAACCTTGGTTTATGTATCCGAGGAACACTACAGATTTTTTGGTTTCATTCCTCTATATGCAAATTAAATGTAGTTTTCGCATGTCATACACGAGAAAAACAAATGTACGTAGGAGCTAATTGCACGTATCGGAGTGAACTTGGTCTACTTTGAGGCCCTCGGAGGTCGGTGAAGGTAAAGAAAAAATCATGTTGGAAGAATAAAATACCAGCTTCGTTGAAAGTTAGAGCGAGAACAATAAAAACTTGTAGTTATACTCATAAATCTAACTATTCTTGGTTTCCAGTCTCAGCCATGAAAATGTTTTAAATGGATTTTAACAATGGTTACCATCAAGGCTCTGTTGCCATAATCAATTATACCAAGTATTTCAAAAATACATAAACAACGAAAGTCAACAGTCGAGACTCGAACTAAACAAATGCCCCTTCAGTACATCATTAGAGAATCACAACCATCAGCAGAGGAAATATATGCAACTATGCAAATCGAAAAGAGTTTTTTTCAGCTTCTTCTAGTCACCAAAGAAATATAGATTCTCTGGTTTCCTAACTCCGTTTTCTGTAGCATTAGTTGCAATCCTGCTGCAAATTTTCAGTATTAAATTAATGCATGCAATTCAACATTGGTATATCTACTTGTATACATAGAGCATAATTTTTTGCACTGCTGGGACAATAACCCTCATATAAAATTAGAATCATGACAATTCAACATTGATGTATTACGAAGCAAAGAACGAATTTAGGAGCCAAATCTTCAAAAAAAGACAATGCAAACAAGGAAATACATGAACTTGTTAAATTACCTTCTCTTCTTCTCCATAGTCTTTCCTATAGTCTTGGGGAGCGGCTTTCTTGTCATGTTCCTGATCATCATCCGTATTTGATTGGACCATGAACTATTGCAATCAGAAATACACAATTCAAAAGCGATTTTATAGATTAGATTTCCAAACAAGAAACAAATTGCGAGCTTAAAGTAGTTCCTACTGATAGTATATTTGACCCAAGAAACACCAAAATAAAAATAAAAAACAAAAACAAAACAAAAGAAAACACAGACAAGCACACACACACACACAAGGCACAAGGTAGAACCTCACCGGGATAAGTTTTATCTGCAATTCAAAGGACTCTTTTCTTGAAACCTTACCATCAAATATATCCTTAGCTAGTTGATATACCATGCCATCAGAAAGTACCTCCCTCTTCCAGCTTGGAAAAGTTGATCTTATAGAACATCAGACATGTCAAAATACACAGTACTAGGTTCCGTCATCATCATCTACAGGTTGAGAATGTTTTATTTATACAGTAGGTCCTGGTGCCACGTTACAGGAATGACAGCTTATTTCAGTGCATGATCAGCTGACTTCTACACAAAATTCGCAGCTGACTTATGAGAACGATTCGCTTATAAGCATAAACCACCAATCGAGTCATCAGTCTCTTTTAGACTTCCAATTTCCCTTTTATTCCTTGCATTTACAAATTGCCTGAATAACAAACTGTGTACACCACCTTTGTACAGCTTCCCATACAAACAAACAGACTTCCACCTGCCAAGCTACCTTGAAGCTACAGCCTTGCACTACAATCATCAGATATAGTCTCTTCAGAAGAACCATCGCTGTCTATAATAATCACATCTTGTTTACCCGCGTGATGAGAATAATCCCTTCTCAGTTTCCCCATCCCTAGTCCTACAGATGAGTAGTTGAAAAGAGGAGCAGTACTTAATGGTTGTGAGTCATTTACTCTTAAACCACCACATGTAAACTGCATTTCATTCCTTGGTGCCAAATGTGATCCCCGAGGATCGAATCTGAGAAGGGTGAGATTCAACCTATCTGAATGAGCAATTGATGAAACAGTTGAAGGCACAGTTGGCGGTGGAGAAGCAACAGCTTCTCTGAGCCAGTGGGGTAAATTTCCCTTTGCTCCAACACAAGTTGTGGGGCCATCAGTTGATAATAACTTGCCCCTTCGAATAGTTCTACTTCTATTTAGAACACTAAATTCATCATCCTCATATTTGTCCCTTCCCATTTCAAAACGAGATGTCCTTTTTGTGTAACCAAGAGGCCTCCGGGGATTTCCATTGCCATTGTTGCAAATATAAGCCGACTTAAATAGTGGCCTCCTCGAGGCATTACCTCCTCTATGAGCATCAACATCGCCAAGTGAAACTTGGGTTATGTCTGTTGTATTTTCTTTCCATATTCCTCTTTTTGGACCCGAGAAGTAGTTGCATCCCAATTGAGGAACACATAAACCACTAAAAAGTTTTGACTGTTCCTCTTCCCACCGCTCAGCTAAGTCCCTTGCCACCCTCCATGGTGAGAAGTGAAAACTTGGATCCCTTAACATAGCATTCCAATTGTCCCGTCCATATCTCCTCACGCCCATCCATAGAAAATCCAACTCTTCTTCAGACCACATGGTATTATATGGCATATAATTGTCATGAAAACTACCCCTCTCATTCAAAGCTCTTGCTTGGCTTACAACACTGTCATGCATAATCTTGTGTTTCAAAACTGATGATAAACGGCTTGAGGAAGATTGGAGCGCTGCATCTCGGATGAATTCTCTTGTTCCAATGATGGAGTTCAAGAAGGGAGATGTATTGAAGCAGGTATTGGCAGCACATCCTGCAAGTACAGGCTTTTCGGTTAAGGATAGACCCAAAAACATAGGAGATCCTTGTTTTGGTTGATTATTCTGGCCTCCCAACAGAAGAACTTTTCTCCGTTCTGAAGCTATAGAAGCAGCTACCTCAGGTTGTGTTATCACCGGGCAAAAAATGTAACTGGTTTTTTCTTCTGGAAACAGCTGGAGATGAAAATATAAATAAAATTATTTGGCAGCCAAATTATCCCCAAATATCCAAAAAGCAAGACTTAAAAAACCTACCTGCAGACATTTGTTTTCAGAAGTAAATTCCTCGGAAATCAGATAACCAACTTTATCATCATTATCTTTGCAGCTGGCACCAACTTCTAAAAATTCAAATGCATCTCTGTGTAATTGTGAAGCTTGAGTTTCTACTCTTTCATTTCTCACAGCCAGCATTTGTGGAGGAGACAGTTCATGTAATACAGCGGCATGATTTCGGCTAGTAGAATCCAAGGAGCCCCCCATAGTTTTTGGCGCAGCAATATTAGGTTGCTGTTGAGGACTCAAGTTCAAGTCAAAATTGCAGTCGGTGCCACATGAATCTGCTAGTAAGAGTGTATTGTCAGTTAAAATAATGTAACTGGTTCAATAATGCATGCCTAGAAATTAATGAAGTTTTACCGGTTGGGATAACTGACAGGTGCAAATAAGGAAGTGATTGGCCTACACAAGGGAGTTCCGTCGCTTTAAGATCATCACTTGACAAAACTTGAGCTTTGTTTCTGGAGTGCTTCAAATCTGTCTCATGATCGATGGAGCACTTTTCAGGGGAAGTTTCTTCGCACGAAGCGGCATTAGCACAAACACAATCACTCAATTTGGTTACCAATGAGCAATCATTTTCTGCAGGCACAGATATGCTTTGTTTATCAGACTTATCTATATCCTTTCTTCTTGTTTTCCTTCGGCAGAAAGTAATTAATGGGGCAGTCGACTTGGTCTGCACAGCTGAATCGCAGCATAAGTTATCTGCATTAATTTTAGAGAACGGATCAGTCTCTTCCAAGTTTGATGCATTCAATCTTAGCAAAATACCATCACATTCAGAGGTGCCTTTTCTTTCAAATGATGATGATGATGATGATGATGATGATTTCGGCCAGACAAAATCAGCGGTCATTTCAGTGGCATTCCCCATTAACCCGGAAACTAACTTTCCTCCAGCATTATCATCGTCAACCAATGCTTCATTATTAGTATTTGAGGACGAGCCAACTTTCTTGTGACGGGAGAGACCCTCATCGAGACTGTCCAGTCTGCTTGATTTTCGTATTGAATGAGGTATTGAAGAATCATTTCTGTCATAGTCTTCTGGTGCACACTTATCAATCAAATGAAGTTGCAAGTCTTCTCTACTTAGAGAAGTGTCACTCGGAGCCACAAAAAGTGAATTATGGCAATCATGTCCCTCTTCAAGAGCTTTTCTTGATCGCCGCTTTCGCTTGTATGTTAAAAGCACTTTGGTCCCTGACATTTAACCTTTCACAATGAAATCTTGCTGCAATTCCACACTCACTAGTCCTTCCACTATATTGACTCACATTTTCAACACACAAAAACCTGCAGAAAGGAATAAAATCCAGTTAACCAAACAAAAAGACATGACTCAAATAAAGATGAAGGGAAAATGACAGATTCCAAGTCTACTGTGAAATGGTAATGACTCTTATGAGAACTGTCGCAAACAAAAAATGCACTAACATTGTCAAACACGGGTATTCATTTGCTAAACACGTTAAACAGTTGAAAAAAAAATCAGTTGGGAATAGTTAAAAAGGACACTTCTTTTCTGCTTTTTCTACTTTTTATATATTCCATCTTTCTTTGTTCTTCACAAGCACATTTTCTTTTGGTTTTTCCTTCCCTTCTTTCTTCTATTTTGAAACTTCTGTTTGGTTAAGACAACGAGAGGAAGGGCTCGTTTGGTGCCTATGATTGGATTGGATTGGAAACTCACTGTATTCAGAGTAGGTTGAAGGAAACTTATCCCTTCCAATCCCAACAAAATGGTGATATTATGCGGCAGAACTTTCCTTCATTCCTAATAATCTCCTCAAAACGTAAATTCATTCGCCTATATGTACAATTATATGTGTTATCCATTCCGATCCAATCCCAGGCATCAAACAAGCCAAAAATGATAAAACTCATGTATATCAGGAACTGACATGTACAATGAGACTTGCTGCCTTAAATCCCCGGTTTTACATGTGCAGTAAGAGTTGAACAAGGGGTAAGGATCTCAGAAAATTCAAAATTTATCCCAGTCCAAAAGTGAAACATGCACAATTACGCTACCTAACACACGAAAACTATTCCTGTTTCCAAACAACACACATGCTATACCAAATTAAAAACCATAAAACATTCCAAGAACGTAACTTTTACAGTACTGTTACACATTGAATTCATGAACTTCAAGTTAGAGCTCGAAATTCAACCAAGAACACAACTTTAACTTTAAGGAAGAGCTGGGAATTCAAAATTTAACCAAATAAAAAACCGTAACACGCACATATAAGCTACCAAACACACGAAACCATACCTGTTTCCAAACAACACACATCTACACCAAATCAAAACCAATAAAACATTCCAAGAACACAAATTTTAGCATGATGTTCCACTCTCAATTCATGGACTTCTCACTAAGCTAAACAATTGTAGAGAACTCCATGTCCTCCGCGATTCGAGAGCGATTTACATTCATATCCTCACATGGGTTTACTAATTAAGCACCCAAGATGGTCCATTTAGCTGCCAAGCATCGTTCTTGTTTAAATTTTCTAAATTTGTTTTGCTTTTTTCTTGTTTCCAAGCACTAACCTCGCTTTCCACGAAACAATCAAAGACAAATTACATTTTTCACGAAGCAATCAAAGGATAATTGTGCAATTTCCACAAGCAAGCATAATGAATAATAATTGATGTCTGAGAAAAACATACAAACAAATACTTGAAACAGAAAGCATCGGGTATAAAAGAAAGGAGATGGATCAAACCGGAGTCCGGCCAGCAAAACGACGTCGGAGCAGTGCACACACCGCCGGTGAGACCTCTGTGTTTCTGTAGAAAAGGTTTGAGTGGTTTACTTGCTGTTCCTCAGTTGAAAGAGAGGAGAGGAGAGAGAGAGAGAGAGAGCATTAAGCAGTGACTGTGAAGTGACTGAGTGACTCATCGAGACGTTTCTTCCTTTTGGGTGCCGTCTTGACCAAGCACGTGAAGTTCACGCGGGAAGAGGATACTAGAACCAGACGGAGACAAAAGAAGCATCTCTGATAGCTTTTGATTCACGCGCGCCAAAAGACACGCCATCTCGAAATGACGTCACTGTTCAGTGGCCCCCACAAGATTTGGTGTCGGGTATGGTCCACCGGATTCTTTTGTCTGTGGGCTCTACCACAGTTCAAAACACTGGACATGCAATGAACTCTCCCGCTCAGTTACTGCTTTGTAGCTGTTTCTGATAATTCTGAATTTGTTACTTTTATATGGTCATTACAAAATATATTTATTTTATTATACAACTGGAATCACGTTAACATATTTGAACGGTCATGATTAAATTACGTCAACATCTTATATTAATTTTTTATATAATAAGAAACAAAATAAGGAATGGATATAGAATAAGAAACAAAATAAGGAATGGAAGGAGGCGATGTAAAAAGGAAGGGAGAATCTTAGTCCAATCTTTGCACATTAACTCGTAGAATGTTCGCGCATTGGCGTCTAAACTAGATGGAAATAACTAAAATGGTTTAAGATATTGAAACACATGACCGAATTGACCAAATTGAACTCGACCAGTAATCATCTGCATAAGTACACAAATTGCTTTGAATATTTGAATTACAATAGCTTCCTTCCGTTGATCAACGAAAGTTCAACACCAAGAAAATCAACATTCAAAGTAGAGCTCAAAACTTTACTGAAGGTAAATTCATGGACCATCGTGCGAGGCTGTGAACATACGAATTACAGACGATTTATACATCATACAAGTTTTCCACTTTTCCCCCATAAAGTGCTGCACCTGGACAGCTCAAATCCGATCGTGTAAGCGGGGACTCAAATGCATCAGTATGTAACTTACAACGTGTGTGGGGAGAAAGAAAAAAGGAGGCTCAATATTATGAATAGGTACATTTAAGGAGGAAGAAAAGAGGAAAGAGAGCAAGGGAGGAGGGAGGAGGGAGGAGGGAGAGAGAGAGATATAGAGATTAGATTTAGCGATGTAAGGGTAATATGCCCCATTGGTGCAAAAACCCCTCCCCGGTGGTGACTTCTAGGACCAGTAGAACCACCACTGCCAACATAGCTGCTCTTCCATTCCAAGTCTCGGCACTTTTTGTCCAACCCCATTCCCAAACAGTCACAGGTGCCGGTAGCTCCCTACGCTGTGAATCATATGTTGCTAACAACTCTTCCACACTCCCAAGTGGAACTAAAGACTGCAACAAAAGACCCGAAACACCATCCAAAGACAAGCACAGAGTAGAAAACTATAGTAAGAACCTATCCAAGATGGGTTTTCAATACGGAAAACAGAAGGGACAAACAAATGAAAAATGGTACCATAAGCTAGCTTCTCTACGCCACCCACCCATGGACTCATGCGCACGGAGGGCACACACAAGACACAACATTGTTCAGGAGAGAGTTTACCTGTCGAGCTTCAAGATGTGAGACTGCCATAGCTCCAACATATGGCAAGCTCTCAATCACCGCATCTGCCAAATCTGAAATGAAGGTGGGTTCACATCCTAGTGCGGGAACACGCCCCCAAACCTCTATACCAGATTTCAGAGCCAATTCTTTGTACTCAACATCGATTTCTTCTAGAGTTTCAATATGCTCGCTGACAAAGCTGTGGTCATGCATCAACAGTTAATCACAGAACTAAGTTTCATAATTCATATATATGATAGTATGCACACATGTTTGTGCGCCTGAGATTGAGCAAGAGAGTGAGAGAGTGAGCGAGAGAGGATGCAGCTAAAATTCAGCAAACAGTGGGGAAAAGAAAAGGCGACAAACAATTACCTTATAGGGACTGCCAGCAGTCTTTTGACTCCCTTTTTTCCAAGCTCAATTATTGTCTCATCTGTGTAGGGTTTTAACCACTCCACAGGTCCAACTCTGCTCTGTTAGAACATTCACTAACTATAATCAACCAAGTCACAAAGAATATCATGGATGTATAAGATAGACATCGAATACAATAAAAGAAATCTGAACAACGAAGACGAGTATGTCACTATTTTTACATGATCTTTGAAAAAACCATCCCTATTCGTGAGAGGCTAGAGGCTTGAACTCAATTTTCCTTTATAAACATATCTAAAATCAGATCAAATTAAAAGCAGAAATGCACCTGATAGGCAAGGGTGTACGCATTAGTTATTTTTCTCTTTTCTAACTCCTCCATTATCAAATCTATGCATTCCTCCATCTCCGCCTTGTACGGATCACCAGCCTCTTCCACATATGCAAGTGGCACTCCATGTGCGCTAAAGAATATCATTACCTGTAATGCACATTCCCAATTAAGCTGGCTGACATCTACACGACGATGATAACCAAGTAATTTCATTTTGGAACTTAGGTGTCACTGTCAGTAAGAGAAAAGCTAGAGCAGAACAGAAAAGAATTGCATATTATACCATACATTTATACACCAAAACTGAAAAGGCCGTTACTATAGCCTCTCGCAGCACTAAAAATTTATTGCAGGAACACTCAACTGCTAAGAAACCATATCCAAATGTGTCTATAGAAGAAAGGAAAGTTATAGCAAGATAGTTTTGCTTTTTGTGGCAGCCTTTTTTGACAACTTAGTAGTATGCATAATATAATAAAACAATCCTTATATCCCCCACTAAATAGAGATTAAAGAAACCTCTCTGAGGCCATGAGAATTGTAGAACCCTAAGAGGTACTTTTTCTTTCATTTAGTTTAAATGATGCAGGATAAGTAACTCACTTAGAGGCATGAAAATCAATGTGAAAAAGAAAGATTTAACAATACTTTTTCAGGGCTGTCAAAACATTGAAGCTCTTTTTCAATCAAATTTGCCATTGCCGTTATGTACCCTTCACGCTGGTACCAAGATGGTATTACTGTGTGCTGCATGTTGACAAGATATTCGTCCTCCCTGATGAACCAATGAATTATCCAGTCAGCTTAAAGATTATAATTTGAGGCAATGATATGGCAACACATAGTTAGAGTTAGACATCACCGGAATATACTCTCCAGGAGCCGAAGGCTTGAACCACTAGTTGATATTGAAAATTGTGGATAAAGAGGAAGGACGACAAGCTTTGTAATTCCATCTCTTTTTATCTACAAAATCTTTTTAAAATCAACAACCAGATCCATGAACTTTTGACCACAATTGAAAACCTAAATCTCTTAACAAATTTGCATGTTACCAACTCAATTGGAGTTAACCTAAGACTTGACAAAAGTGCGGAACAACCATTATAATTAAGTGGCATCATAGTTAAAGAAAGAAGAGCACATCTCATGTAATTTGTGAAGCAAAATTTGAAGTGGAATGATTCAACAAAAACTATATATTTGTTTATTGTACAAGACAACGTAAACTCTAAGACGTACATAACTCACTAGCCGAGATATAATTGACAGATGCATCGAAAATCAAAATGAAATCATACCAAAATACCTGTTCTATAGCTTCTTCAGTAAACGGATGCCAATAACGCATACCAACATACACTTTTGCTGGGACATCCTTCGCATAAAGGGCCTTCCTCAATTCTTCCGCCTGAATGGAGAAAAGGGTACCCAATGAAATTCCAATTAGACAGCATTTCCATCAAGCTTAAGGCTTTACATGATAAGCATGCAATTCAAGAGCACTTGAGGTCAATGTTAAGAGAAAGTTAGAGTGGTCATGCCTGTTCATCAGTTATCCGTCGAAGAGGAGAGCCGCCGCCAATGGAGGCGTAGCCTTCTTTGCTCTTTGGCGCCCTCAGAACGGATATAAATTGCGCCAATGGCTTCTGAAGGAACCGAAACAGCCTCGGCAGTCTAATGATATCCTGCCCATTTTTTCACGCACGTTCAAAAATCACTACCCCAATTCAATAGATTCCACTCTAAATTCACACACATTAAAGTTACTAAATTCAAATTCGCACTCTTTAATTTTACTAAATTCAAAATTCACACACCTTAAAGTTTACTAAATTCAAATTCATGGCATTTTTGTAGAAATTTCAGAAATTAAAACTTGAAAACTCAAAAATTGATAAGCTTGAGGAAGTTACCGGATCAGCGAAGAGGTTAAACAAGAAGGGCTGGACGTCGTCGAGGGTCTCGGGCCCACCGAGGTTAAGCAGCAAGACTCCGACTTTATCCTCCCCACTAAACGGCGTCGACGGAGCGTCCAGAGTTTCCGACGCCACCAACGCCTTTAGCGGCGGCAGGCATTTCCGGAGCGAGTTCTTGGAGAAAAGCAGAGCAGATTGCGTCGAGGAGTATCTGGCGACGACGCAATTTCTAACTGGAGCTGCGGAGGTGTGGATGTGAGAACCGCAGAGTAATCCTCCGCGCGGCGGCAGGCGGTGGTCGGAGGGGACGGCGGAGGATATTGTCCACGGTAGCATTGCTATGGATTCAGCCGCCATTGCCCGAGGCCTCGACTGAGAAGGCAAGTTGCACTGTTGCAGAGTGTACAGCGTAGAGAGAGAAGAACAAGAGATAGGCGTTTGGCTATGGGTGCTGAGTTCGCAGTTAGGACACGTGGCCTGCTTCAAGCCACTCTCACTCTCTCTCTTCGAAGGATTTGAATTCTAATTCAATCGGGTTTGAACCGGACCCGTGGACAACTCATGGGTCGGGCGGATTGGTAGGAACAATTTTTAACATTAACCTGTAAACAAATGATTACTTACGAGGCGGATAATTAACTTGTTTAACATAAGGTAACTCTTCTAATAATTCCAAGGATCAAGACTTAAAATTACTAAGTCAAGATGTCGATACACATACATTTTCACTTGAATTGTGAAAACTTTAATTTGTGTATAAAGATGTGGTTATGTTTTGGTCACCTATTGAATTGTCTCTGATAGTTACTTGTAAGCCTATCTATCACGAACTCTTATCATACCAACCACATCTTTTACGACAATGAGCTTATAACTCAAGTAGATAGATTATTCACATTGCATTTAAAATTCTAAGTTTGATACTCTCCTTTTTCACTATTGCTTGAATTAAATAAAAAAATCACATTTTTTTTAATGTTTCGAAAATTTAGGAATTAGTTCATGAAAGATTCTCATATTGTTTGTTAAACAGAATAGTGTTAAGATTCGTAGGTAAATGTGTTAAAACTAAATTACTTTTCAAATGTTTTAAACAAGCGATTGGTTTTGATGAAAATTAAATAAAATTGCTTTTAAGGAAGACACTTGTAAGAAACGAGACCAAAATGATAAATTTGTTAATTAAAGATTATAATTCAATTAGTTAAGAGCATTCACACATTTATTTCTTATCGGTGATATAAGTCAGTAATAAAAAAAATAAAAAACCTAACGAAAAGTTAAAAAAAAACTTTAGTTTTAATGAAAAATGACAAATAAATATGTAGTAAATAATACTAAAGAATAAAAATATGATTTTTCGATAAAAATAAACAGTACCGAAAATGTTAAGTTAAAACTCGGCTTGTATTCGCAGTAAAATAAAGAGAGAATAAAAAAGCATTTTTGCCCTTTTGGTCGGTGGTTAGGTCGGGTTTTAGTTATTACGTTGTATTTGGCGCCCTCGCGTTGGGAACGTGTCACAACCTGGCAGTTCCAACTGTTTTCTCTCTCTGTCTCTCTCCCTTCTCCTCTTTTCTCGCTTTGTGCTTTCCAACGGCTCCAACAACTCGAACTAGAAAAAGCATTCCGATACCTTTCCCTTCTCCATTGACAAACCTCGACAGAATCTCTCCCCGCGAATCCATGACGGAGTCCTCCGCCGACCACCGCCGGAGCCATTCCGGCAGCTCCAGCGACGGGTCCGTCTATTTCGAAGCCGAAGCCCCTCCCGATCCTAATGACGAAAATGCCACCACTTCCTCAGGTTCCTTCACCGCCTCCTCCTCCTTCTTCGTCATCGTCATTGTCTATTTTCGTAATTTTGGTTTCGAGTTTGTGAAAAAATGTGGATTTGGTAGGGCATTTGGAGATAGACGTGCAAACAGAGAAAAATTCTGGGAAGTCACCATCCACCGTCCGTACGTCGTCCGGTTCGAGCTCCGGTTCGAGTCAACTCTCTGCGAGCGCGCGATTGACTCAGAACCAGGCGTTGGCTGTGATTCTCGCCAAGCTCTTCGATCAAAGAACTCCTTTTAGAAAAAAGGTACTCGATTTAATTTTTTTGAATTTTTCCCGAGTTTTCGAATTTAATGTTTTTAGAATTTAGTCCTTGAAATTTCTAGGATTTAATTGGAACTACATTGAAATTCTGCAGCGTAAATACATAAAACGGCTGGCAAAAGTGAAAGATGACGGGACCGTGCAATTTGACGTTCTGGGAGATATTAAACCGCAGTATCTGGATTTCGGAACTGGAGCTGCTCACAGTGAAGCAGCTTCTGGTGGAGAAGCTGGCAGCGAGACGGAAACTGAAGTTCAAGATATACCTCCTCTGCAAATTGTAATGCTTATCGTCGGCACACGAGGAGATGTGCAGCCGTTTGTTGCCATTGGAAAACGATTGCAGGTCTCGCATTTATGTGCTTTTAGCTATATAGAACTTAACAGTGAAATGCTTCATAATTTTGTGTGTAACTGATTGAGAATGTTGACATCAATTGTGAGATAATTGTTTATCTTTTGCTGGATATATGCTCGTGCTCGGTTTTGCTTAGTGTTCTCTGCTGGTGATTAATTGTATGACGAAAATTGATGTTGCTTCGGTGAAACTTTAGTTGCTTTGTCGATTTATTGCTTTGTTTGTGCCTGTTAATCACATCCATTTTACTTCTAATGCTCTTTGTGTGCGTGTATTTATGCATAAAGATATAATTTAATCAGAGTACATTGAGAATTTTACCTTTTGTGATGGAAATTTTAGAGGCGATGAGTGAAAATAAAATATAGCTCTTCTTGGGAAGCTTATCCCGGACTTTATGTGAATTGACGGATGTGTTTACTTGCAGGAATATGGCCATAGGGTTAGGCTAGCAACTCATGCAAATTTCAAAGATTTTGTCCTTACTGCTGGGTTGGAGTTCTATCCTTTAGGTGGAGATCCAAAGGTTCTTGCTGGTTGTAAGTACAGAATTTGTTTCTTTTTTGTGCCCTGCGTACAATAATGATGAGTCTTTGGTCTGTTTATTCCATCATTTGTTAATTTCTGAAATTATTACTTTGCATAAAGTTTAGTTAATGTAACCGCTACCTTGTTCCACGTATCAAACTTATTTTAGCATTGAGGTTTTAATTTTCATGTACCTTATTCTGCTTGCTTGAATCGTTAGGAAATAATCTTGGAAATTTAACATTGAAGATTCAGGCCCATTTGTCTGTGTGTTCCTTAAAAAACACACATATGTGAACATGCCTGTCTTATTTATTGGATTTATATTGATGTAGTGCTTTTGTTTTTTACAGATATGGTCAAGAATAAAGGTTTCTTGCCATCAGGACCTTCGGAAATATCAATTCAGCGACATCAGTTGAGGGAAATAATTTTTTCTTTACTTCCTGCATGCAACGAACCTGATCCTGATTCCAAAATTCCATTTAAAGCAGAAGCAATAATTGCCAACCCACCAGCCTATGGTTAGATTTCATCATCTTATTATTTTGCTTTTGGTTTTCAAGTATCAATGGCATTGTTCAAACAATTGATTTGGCGACACACAATATTTGGCTTCAAGCACAAGGTGTTTGTGTGTTTGTGGTTCCTATTACCGTTGAAATAAATGAAGACCCTATATTGATGTGTTTAAGGCAATCTACCTCTGACAGTGTTGATGGATGCATGGTCATAGCCTCAACCACTTGAAATGCTCCGAAAGTCTCCATAGTTATGTTCTTTGGAGATAACAATTACGGATCTTTATAAATTAAATATCTGAACGGTTTAACTTGATATAAAAAGAAGAATGAATATTTATGTTGTTTGAAATCATTTAGTAGACTCCTAACTTTGCAAACACTTGTCCAGGGCACTCTCATGTCGCCGAGGCACTAAAAGTACCACTTCATATATTTTTCACCATGCCATGGACGTAAGTGTTGTCTCCTGGGTTAGGTCAAATTCTGTTATCTTTTGCTCAATGATTCACTCAGTTTCATTGTCCATTGTTCATTTTGGTTGACCTATAATTTCTCAACCACACACAGTTCATTGCATATGTATGTACTTTAAACGTACTGTTAAAAGAGAGAAAAGCAGCAAATCATGAAATATTCTTTGTTGTTTGATCAATCGCTTGATAACTATTTACCTTTCTCAGGCCTACGAGTGAATTCCCCCATCCTCTATCTCGTGTCAAGCAACCAATTGGATATAGAGTGAGTCTCATACGATATCCTTTTCTACCTTACTGATAGTGATCTATATTGATGCGTTTGTTTGCCGGGCTTATATTATGTAATTAAACAGATTTTTCTTTTCTTTCCAGGTATCATATCAATTAGTCGATGCATTTATTTGGCTAGGAATTCGAGACATGACTAATGAGTTTCGGAAGAAAATGCTGAAGCTCAGACCTATCACATATTTAAGTGGATACTATAGTTCTCCTCCTGACGTGCCCTATGGGTATATATGGAGTCCTCATCTTGTTCCCAAACCTCAAGGTCATATATTTAAATCTTTTTCCTTCAGATGAAAATTTTGCATGTCAATACTTGATATGAAGTCACTGATTTCTTCCATACTAAATGAACTGATATCGATGTCATAATGGAAGATTAATTTCAGCTTTTCTGTCCATATATATGGATTAGAGGTTGTCTTTAGTTCTACAGGTGATGTATTTCAATGGATTGCCCACTATGTGCTTGGTGTGAGCTTGTTAATATTTTATTGCTCGTTGTTCCACGAATTGAAAAACGGACTCGATGTTGTATGGTTTGTTTGTTGTTGATTCTTGGTCCACCTGGATTGAAATTCTTATGAGGACTTTCTCATAGCCTTTCACCTTGTTTCTTGCCTATTTGGGGTTCATTGTATGTTTGATAACCTCATTGTTCAAAAACAAGTAATTGTTTACAATTTATTGCTGAAAATATGATAGAGATACATGGTCAATTCAAAATACTCATCGTGGTCACTAGATAAGCTTTATCATGCAACAATGGGATTCTTATGCTGATATTATTGCAGAAGCCTCCAGAATATGATTTGATAGGGGAGAAATATACTAGCTTGACCAAATGAGAAAACAGTATGCTAATTATTTGCTAATATGCTTTGGTTTTCACTTGTCTGGCAGATTGGGGACCAAAGGTTGACGTTGTTGGGTTTTGTTTTCTTGACCTTGCTTCAAATTATGAACCCCCAGAGCCACTTGCTAAGTGGCTTGAAGCTGGTGACGCGCCTGTATATATTGGATTTGGTAGCCTTGTGAGTTATTTTTTTTTTGGAGCATTTTCTATTCGTGTTTAATGTTCTTTGCCCAGTTCTATCTCAGAGTAGCTCTGTTTCCACCGTACACTCAAAAAACACTTGTTACTCTCTGACCAAACAATCACCATGAGAGCCAAAACCACACCACCAATGAGTGACCGCCTTCATGCTGGTTCCCAACCAACAGGTTGTGGGGGATCTATTCATGAAAGTGAAAATTGTCCCCTTTGCTCAGTTCACTATCTGATTTGACTGAGAACATTACAAATGCATGCAGAGTATACCTGTCAATTGAATAGTTAAGGTTACTTGATTGAACATTTAATTAAAGTGGTAAATTGTCTTGTAACATGCTAATGTTTTTCCTTCTATTCCGGTTTTTTATTAGCCGCTTGAAGAACCGGAGAAAATGACTGATATTATTCTTAAAGCTCTGGAAATAACTGGACAAAGAGGCATTATCAACAGAGGCTGGGGTGGCCTTGGTAATTGTAAGTCTCAATTCGTTAATAAAATATATACATATGTATATATATATATATGTATAAAATATGATATCTTTAGTTTTTACAAGCACATTGTATTCTTACTTCTTTACATGTGAAAAGCTTATATATTTCTCTTCTCAGCGGTAGAACCAAATGATTCTGTGTACTTAGTGGACAATTGCCCCCATGATTGGTTATTCAAACGATGCTCTGGTGTGGTAAAGTCTTACTGCTTTTAACTCATTTTGATTGGTTGAGATTTCATTGCACTGGTGTTCACAACGTCATTCTCTCACGGTTGTGCTGAAATGTTATCTCCGTTGCAGTCTGTTGTCACGCATTAACTTGACACACTTCTTTTGTCGTTTGGTTTCGCCCCTGGGTCTAGCTGTTGCTTGTACTTTGTTTTCTTTACAAATGAACTTGGTTTCACATTGGATACGGAAATTCGTTTTAGGTACATCATGGGGGTGCTGGAACAACTGCTGCTGGTCTGAAAGCTGAGGTAACTGATAAAATTATTAATGGGAAATCTTATATGAGGGAATGATTTAGTTAGTGGCTTATTTATGGGTGATATTGTGTTCTTTTTAGTGTCCAACTACAATTATACCATTCTTCGGGGACCAGCCATTTTGGGGCGAGAGGGTGCATGCCAGAGGTGTAGGTCCTGCACCCATCCCAGTTGAGGAATTCTCGCTTCAAAAATTGGTTGATGCCATACGCTTCATGCTAGATCCAATGGTATTTACCGTTTTGTTTTCTAACTTCAAGTGATTCACATATGCTGGTGCTATAAATTGTCATTTTTTTCGTGTAAAATTCTAACACCTGCACTCGCGTTGAACAAAACTTGACATTGTTTATTAGAATACAATTTTAACATAACTTCTCCTTTGGAAGGTTAAAGAGCGTGCTGTAGAAATTGCGAAGGCCATGGATAGCGAAGATGGGGTCAAGGGAGCAGTGAAGGCCTTTCACAGGCATTTTCCTTTCAATAAATCTGATGACGACGAACCTGATCAGTCATTGCCAACTAGAAGAAGGTTATTATCTTTCAGAAGATGTTTTGGCTACTCCCCGGCATGACTCTCGACAGCAACGTCTTGGCTGCTCATGATTCTATATACGTTTAGGGTGATCACTAATCCATATCCTGTATCGTTATTTTAATTTTTTTTAGCTTGTCGAAACTTGAATTTATAAAGTTATAATTTGAAACAAATATGAAAAAAAAATCGTAAATTTTAATTACTGTAAAACTCTTTGAAAATACATAAAATACAATCAGTTTGGAGGAGGTCCTTCCAGTCGGATGTAATCGTACATAAGTCCTGCGAAAGGTCCCCAGTTTCTTGATTGAGTAAGATATATGGTGTTGTATCCTTGTTGAAGTCGATAGCTCGGCACATCGACACTGAAGAGCCAGTACAAACCATGAATTCCATGCCTTGCTATGGCATTGTCCTTCCCTATTAGCCCCGTCGAAAAATGAGGTGCGTCATTCCGGTTGTTGAATCGGACCTGCAGTTCTGCGTAGTTGGCCGAGGCCAACGCCAGTTGGAGCATATAATTTCCGGTGTTCCAAACGTTCTCAAGTTGAAATACAATTTGCCATGTCGTTGCCTCGTATGTACCATTTCTGTTCCTTGTCACATGAGCGTAAAACCAATCATCTCTGTAATTGTCAGTGCCGACGGTGTAGATGAGATCACGGTCAGGGTAGTAATCTCCGTATCGTTCCCACAAGCCATATTGCCTAAACCTGTTTGCGTAATTACCAGTGAACAATCGGTTCACAAGGGTTGGATATGGATCCGGTATGTTGAACTCCGCGGCTGATCGATCGGGGGTGCCGATTTCCCACAAGGTCGGACCGTTTCTCGGAGGTTCAAAGGTAAGATTAGCTAAACTGACTTCACTTGCTGCTTCAATTGTAATATCGTACTCGTATTTGTAGTCCCCAATGAAGCCGGGAACAGTTGCGTACAAACTATAGTTCCCCGGTCGAACATCTTTCACGTAGAAATAACCTTGCTTGTCAGCTTGAGTCCAGAACTGATAACCCTTGCATTCCGTTTGCCATGATCCCGCGTATCCGCTCGCAGCCAGTCCCACATAAGCATAACTTGCTGAGACTAGGCTCTCGTTGATGTACGAATCCCGTATTAGTAACTGACCAGCCACTGATCCGCGTTCATCGGAGTTAGGAAAGTCTTCGGACTGAGTGAAATTGTATGGCCAACTCTTTACTTCTTCATACATCTGTTCTTTTGCATTTTCCCAGAGAGAGAAGGACGCATTCGAGCTTGGAACGTCTGAGTTAAGAAACACAAAGACGGGCCCGAAAACCTTCTTCCATGCCTCACCGTCTGCAAAGGTCAACCCAACGTCTTTGCCGACGTAGTGACTACTAAGAAACACAGTGAGGGCAGTTGGGCCGACGTGAGAGGTAAGTTCCTGCTTGAATGGCCCCGCTGAACGAAACTCAATACTAGGTGTGATCATCCAAAGCCCTATAGCATCGTCAGTGCTAATCCAACCGTGAACCTTAATGTCTTTGACATCATTGGAGTATTGGTACTTGTCATCCACCTCTCCTTTAAACTCGGGATTGCTTGGATTCGTTAAAAGAACAGCTTCACGATAGGCAAGGGTCTGAGAGTGGTCTCCTTTGCGATCTTCGGCTGTTGGCATGAATCTTTGTCTGTCGTCTGATATAGCCATGAACTGAAATTTATCTTGTCGAAGTTTCAAAGCAAGTCTTGTTTGATCTATGCGCAATTCCGGCCACCCTTCTAGACGCTCGTATATGGCATTCGCGTAGAACCCAGCGCGACCACGCTGCATTATGTACCTTTTGTCAACATTTAAGGGTAGCGTCCAATCTCCGAGGGAAACATCATAAGTTTTATTAAAAGAAATCTCTATTTGATCCGCCGTCGATGTAACAATCTTAAATGTTGTTCCTTGTAGTCTGTCCTCGCCGTTTTTCCATACAAGATCCCAGTAACCTCTATTGCTTGGGGGGTTTTTGATGTCAAGCAAGTTGTCAATTCCCTTGTATTGGATTCCAATGACGTCTCCTCCGGGATTTGAAAAAGTGACCCGGACAATGCCATTGTTCAGCTCTACCGTGTTCTGAGTTTGCTCTGTTAGCATCTGGTTGAAGTTGAGCTCATTGCCAGTAACGCTCCTGAGTGCTCGCCTTCCAGAAATCCTCGTCGTCTCGTATGCACCATTGTTAATAGGGAAGAAGAAGAGCAAACCAAGTAATGCTAGTGCTAATACTCCAAGGATCACCCATCTCCTCATTTGCGTCACCTTCTCCATCGAAAGCATGTTAGTCTCTCTTCGGTTGCAATAATCGAATACTTGTTCGTAGTAACAAATCAACGTACTCGTTCTGTTTTGAGATTAACTGATGACAAATCAAATCTTACATTCGATATATTTAGTCGGACACATTCATCCTCATGTAGTTAGGACTCCTCGAGTTGTTGGAACTCCTGGATATAGAGTTTGGTTTGATTTTCCTGGATAAATTAGGATATGATAATACCTTCCCTTTTATGTTTGTTTGTTACGTAAAAAATTTCCTGGACGATTTAGGATTTCCCCTTTGCTGCTTTGGCTGCTACTTGCTCTCTCTGCATTTGGTTCTTCCGGTTAGGAGTTTGATTTTTGGCGGAGTTCCGATTGCTTTCTGGCATAAAATTTTTGTGTTCGAAATCTTCGGGTTGGTTCGGTTGCTGCTAAGCAAGTTCCAGCCTAACTCGAAATGGACAAATTTCGAGCAGATAACAAAGTGGAAGTTTTTTTTTTTGAAATGTCGTATTAATATATATAAATTAAAATTTTAAGCGATTGTTATACCAACTTTTCAAAACCATTAATTTATCATCTCAACCTAACTCCAATAAATTTTTCATTCAAAATAAGTTGTGCAATGCACATAACTTGTGTTTAGGATTATTTCAGACATTTTAACATAAAGAATATCATCAAACTTTACCACAGATTAGAGGGTCCCAATAACTATATGCTTGAGTATTCACTTCGAAACACATAAAAGCAAGTGCACGTCGTTCCTCGTTTCCGAACGCCAAGCCCTCAGATTCTCATATATCATATCAACCCCTTTGTTATTTTTTGAGAGCCTAGAATTTTTCTTGTCTAAGGCAACTTATTAGAAGGAGAGTGTAACGACCCGTCCCTAAATATTACGATTTTTATGAATTTTTAACATGAAATTACAAAAATGACCTTCAAGCAAGGTATAAAATATTGATGATATCGGAAATATCGGTAGTCCAAAAACACAGAAATTTCGATGAAAATATCGGGATATTATCGATATCGATATCAATAAAAATTGAATAAAAACCACGGAAATTTTAAGAAAAACTTGGAAATTTTTATTGAAACTTTGCAGGATGTTTATTTAGTCAATTATCTATTAGTTTATCACAAAAAATTGGAAAGAAATGCATTGCATGATAGATATAACTGATTTAAGTTGATTATATAGTGAGCTGGCAAACATTGTGAATGTAGAAAATATGTAGTAATTAATGAAAGAAGTTTAAACACACCATAATCATTTATATATAATGAATTAGTACAATATTTTACACTTTATACATTACATGGTAAGATACATGAGTGATTTAGCAAGGTCTAAAATATCGATGATATTGGAAATATCGGTAGTCCAGAAAAATATCGGTAGTCCAAAAACACGGAAATTTCAATGGAAATATCGGGATATTATGGATATTTTAAACCATGCCTTCGAGGCAAATGCTTTGACTTTTGTTGACCACCTTGTTGTGTCATGCATGATCTATCTTCTTAGCGTATTCATGTAGTATTCGTCACTACGAACGCGTGGACGCAAGCGAAATGGAATTTGGAGCTAAAATGAAGATTTTACAAAATTCAAAACATAAGGGCATTTTGGTAATTTTCTATGTAGGGATATTTTCTATTTGGACCACCCCAAGCTGACACGTGGCAGATTTTTCCCCTGTTCTTCTGGAATCCTCTCCCTCTCCTTTCTCTCCCAGACTTCTCCTTCTCTCTCTCGAGCTCTCTCTCTCACCCTTCATCTCTACAACCCCTTCCCGAGCAACGCACACAGACCACCAACCCAATCTTTGTTCTCCCTCATCCCTCTTAGACTCTCTCTTGTACTTCTCATTCCTCTTCTCCCTCTACGAGTACAAGGACTGAGACCACCAACATCGATTTTTCGGCGAGTTTCACCGCCTCCGATTAGGTAAGCCTTGGAGTCACTCTTCTCTGTCATAAAGTGGTGTGCAAGTTTGATTGCTCAGTAGTTACTCGTTTTTGGTGAAGGATTAGCACGAAATCGACTAGGGAAAAATTTCCCAGTTTCTGGCGAGGGACCGTGAAGTTACAGACGTTTCTCCTGTCACCTTTCGGCCACAGCCATGAGTCGAAGTGGTATGACTTGAATATCCATCTTCGTAGCTTCATTTTGACACTTCAATGATGAGATTTGGATGAGAAACGAAGCCAAACAGATTTGGGAAATTCCCGCCCAAAATTCCGGCCTTCCTCTTATTTTCCAATCAAGTCGACCTAACCCGCAACCCTAATCCAGCCCAAACCCAATCTGAACTCGGCCCAAACCTTTGGGCCATGTGACTCATTAACCCAAGCCCAAGTCATTTAACCAAATACCCAGGCCCAAAGCCTTGGCCTAATAACCCTAACATAGGCCTAACCCAACAACCCAAGCCCAGATCCGACTCATTGACCGTTGACCCGACCCGTTGACTTTTTTGTCAGCATTGACCGTTGACTGTCAACGTTAACTTTTTGAATTTCAGCCGGTACCCCTCCTAAAGCTAATTTCGACGTCCTGATTCCAAATTTGCTGTCTGTTTTCCCAAATTCTATCGTTTTGGTAGAGTTTTAATAAATGGTCTCAAATCGTGTTTAGGTGTGTTGGTGGGAAGCGACACCATCCTCTCTAGTTCGGGTGACTCCTAGGCAATGGCATACTGTGAGTTGACCCCTTCTAAACTTGCATGTTTTTATAAAATATTAGGCTTGCATGCATTTCATATTTTTCGCATCGAATATGTTTTATATTATGTTTTCCAGATTTCTACATTTATGGTTTACGAGATATTTATGATTTATCGAATTTACATTTTACTAAAGGTTATGAAGTATTGGGTTTTCACTTATGAAATTCCATGGATTTACGATTGTGATTTAAGTGGATTTACATATGTGATTTATCATGGATTTATGAAAGAAGGCCTT